GGGCCGAGGTATGCGTGCCGGGCGGGATGAGGCAGATGGGGAAGAACCGCAGTGATACGGTGGGATTGCGGCGCGTTTCTGATGGAGTGTTTTGCTGGGCCATTCGGTACCATTTGACGGAATCCTATTCTATTGGACGTCCGAACCCAAGCAATTCCCATGTACCATTGGTGTCGGCCTACTCGGTTCTGCTGCTCGGCACTTGCTTCATCTAGCACGTGATGCTCCCACCTTGACCTCTTGAGTGTGTGCATGCGGAGAACAAGGCCGCAACGAATGTCGACGCTGATAACCAGCACAAGGTCGTGTTCTCGACAAGGTGATGGCCTGGTGCTAGTAACTCCTTGTGGCCACGCTCGTGATGGGATCTAAGCTAGCCGCGCCAACACACCGCTAGCTAGGGCAAAGCGAGCAGTGCTCCCACAGTCCCACGACTGCAAGGGCGAAGCAGACGACACTCCCACGGCCACCATGGTGTTGGGCAAAGGAACAAGGTGACAGTTACTGTACGGTTAAGCCTCAAACTATTGGGGGAGATACAACTCCCCTTTATGAGAGAAGATTGGACCTTTTTTGACCAAAAAATAGCACTATTAGGGGACGAGGAATGTTATTGGAAAACTAGAGTAGATCTACAACAAGGGTGGGTCCACGTAACCTCTCACCACCGGCGAGGCCACGACAGGGGAAGAAGAGTACTGAGCGGAGGCGGCCAAGGGTGCAGGAGAGCAAAGCAGAGGTTAAGACAAGGATCAACTTTATTCGCCCCTAGTACCACTATCCACTGTCTCCCGGCACTGACTTAGTCATCCCCGTATCGATCTTCGTCAGTCAATTGTATAATTGCACCTTCCAAAAGCTCAACTCAAAAAACATCAGAATATTGACAAGCCAAGTGCTAAAATCAGCACCAAACCTACTTATTTACCGTTCCATAATAGATCACCTTAGCTCTAGAAGCGAGAATTAAGGAGAAGCCAAGAAAGTGCAGTGCACGAAAATGAGAATAGAGACCCCCCAAAAAAAGTATATTAGGAAGTGAGAATGACAACCAATCCGGGACAAGTGTAGAAGTCTACAAAGGTCCAAGTATTATGGGACCGAGAGAGTAGTCCGGAACCCAGATATAACATTGAAAAATTCAGATTTGTTCTGTCCCGATGTCGTTATTGAACCAGATAGGGATTGCAGCTGTGGAACTGTTGTTTCACTGTCTACATATAGAGAGAGTTCGGAGGTAACAACAAGATGGAACAGTCCAGTTGGATGTTCAATTCAGGATGCCAAATGCTTTGTAGGATTCAACAGTGTCACGGAGGGTTTCCTCTATAGGCCTGAAGGTCCACCCTAGCTTCTGCAATTTCTCAGAACTGAATACAGAGTCGTCATCCACTTCCACAAAACTACAAAACATCGAGATACGAAAAGATAAGTTCCAACCAAGTCAAGAGAGTGCAAAACTACGGAAGAACAATTTATTATGAACAAGAATTCCTCAGTTCATCAATACTTACATACATAGCTAAAATGTAATATAATGATCTCCCAAAATTCTATGGATGCATGGAAGTATTTAATTTAGTCGATATGAATGTCGTGGTCACATCAAAAGGATTTGTTCAGTAGCCACCTCTACTTACCAAGTTACCTAATGGTGTGGTTACACAAGGAATTCAAGAAGTATCATAACATGAAAAGCAGTAGAATTTTATTGTTTGTTAAATCAGCTACATTTTAGCATCGTCCTTCTCTTCTAAGGCCATTCCATAAAAATCAGCTGTGAAAGTTAAGAGGGGAAGAAAACTGAATGCTTATAGACAACGGAACTATCAGAGGGTGAGAGTGTGAGACTTACTTTTTGGGATAATGGTAAGTTGGATGTAAGGTCTTCAATATGTTTATCATATCAGAAACTTTTAATGGATGTGAACTGCAGATGGATCGTCCAGATGCTTCTGATTTTTCGTAAGCCAGAAGAAGAGCATCAGCAACATCACGAACATCCACCATATTTCTGAGTCTATTTTCAACAGTCTCGGGATCTCCTGCAGAAGAAATGCATGTACTTAAAAAAATAACTAAATGGCTAAATTAAGTAGGTTAACTGAAAGCTTGTTCTTAAGTAGATAAAGTACTTTGTAGCAATTGATTAGTATGCTTTATGAATAATCAGAAACAAGCAATAGAGAAACACTATTGATAAGATTGTCATTTTAATTGTCTAACTAGACGCAAACCAGTACTAGAAAACTAAGATAACATGCGACTACCCTACCTTTGAAATAATTAAGGATGACTTTACTGCTCGAATTTACTATAAGGCTGCATCAAGGGTCCAAATACATATGAGGCAAATAGTTACAATGTCCAACCCTGTTTTTGCTGCATAAGCAAAAGCCTCACGTTCCGCCAGTGTTTTGGAAAGGAAATACCAATCCTGCAGGATGATGAAATATCTATTTAGGAAAGCCAAATCGGAATGAACAAACACAAAACAACAACTCAGCAACAATTTTTGTGGTAAGATACAAGGACGTGATATGATAGAGCAAACCAACTGTTAACAATTGCTTCCCTTTTGGAAGTGCAATGAGAAAAAATACTATGTATTTCATGAACAGTAGGTTTCACCATATGAAAATAGCAAATAATGGGTTCACTGCAAATTAAGAATGCATCCTGGATATAAAGCTGTGCTAATCAGTTCAGCCTCCAATTTGGCTAAAAAGAAAGTTAGAGAAGTTTGAACTCATGCAAGAAGCCAACTGCAATAGGACAAGATAATTCTTACTTTCTATGTTATGTCAATATTTGCACAAGCAACGCCATTGCTTTACTAAAGGACAACTGTATCACCTCATTTTTCCTGCAGTAATCCTCATCTGACCAGCAGTCTTCATCAAAGACCTTACCCTTAGGCCAATTAGGATTAGCGAACACAGCTGCACATGAAGACACCACCACAACTCGCCTAACTTTTGCCTCGTAGCAAGCCTTCAACACATTGATTGTACCTGTTACAGCAGGACCTATTACCTCCACCTGTAAATTAGAAATATTTGGTGAAAGGCACAAAGGGACAACTATCATGTTACATGTTAATAAATTAACCAATTGTTTGACAGCTGTCTAGTCATTGTACTAGAGTTGTGTAGAATGAGAGGTGCACTCTTCTCAGTTGTATGGTTTTTTGGTTCAGTTTTCATTCAAAAAACTAGGCTGATACTTGTCTTTTTTTCTTTCTTCGTCTAATAAAAATTGCGGCAAAACTTTTGCCATCCTTTCTAAAAAAATAAATTAACCAATTTCTTCTCCGCAAAAAAAAAAGAAGACAATTTCTTTGTATAATTACATAGTAGTAACACTGGACTAGCAAAAACGAACAATATATAACAGGTGACATGGGCAAGGCACCAGATAAGTATGCCACAAAGATGACGTGCAGAACAGAAGAGATAAATCATTCTCTGTTGCCATTAATTGAGTCATAGTCAAACACAGATACCCTGAAGGAATGGTCAAAATGTTACCCATCTCACGCCTGTTTTTAGATAGTCAATGAATCCAGCATGTCTCATAAGAACTAATGATAACCTGAGGGAATTCAGAAAAATTTTCTGTTTATGAAACTAGATGCTTAAAAATTCCATATGTCTAAGTTAGAATTAAAAGCTTAGCAAGCAAAGCCTTGCCAGGAATTGCATCGGTAGCAGTCTATGAAATAATTGCATTCAACCATTTATACCTCCTTATATGACCTCAAAACTTTAGGAAACAAAATATGAAATAGGTGTTCTTGACAAATTCACCTCAGGGTTGGAGGACCGACTGGAAGGGACAGGGCTAGCTACATGGAAGACACCCTCACATCCAGCAATTGAGAAGCTGCAACCTTTCCCCAGCTCCTTCCAGCCCCTTGAGATGAGCATTCTTGCTAGCACCTAGAGCACAAACAAGATATATCTTCATCATATATATAACAAATTTCTTGGTACGTCATAAGAAAAAAAAAAGATACTCATTCAGCTTTTATTTAATCAGGCCATAATTTTCTTGAGCCAGCTGTGAGTGTTCTTTTCCTTTATTTTTTTCTGTTTGTGCAACTTCCTTATTTGAACTTTTAACTTCTTTTGAATGCAAAGAACGAAGTGTAGGTATCCCCGGTGTGTACTTGATATAAAACATGTATATTACTATAGAAACTTTTGAACTCTCCCTGCATTTATTGAGGTTGTATCTCATTTTCAGGTTAGAAACAATGTGACTTCTGTTTTACAATGGCCCTATTCGCTTGTCTTATAATCCGTACTTTTCAACTTGTTTTTTTAACCGGAACAATGTTTTTCTCTCACAAACAAATCAGTCGGAACAGTGTTTCGGCTTATTTTTTCAGCGAAGCGAACGGGGCCATTTTCACCGAACGGAAGTAAACTTCTTTTTGTACATCAGTTATTTTGCCGTAGCTTTCCATGTTGATAACATGAAGTACTTAGGCTAGACCTTGCAGCTCCTAAGGACGCCTCAGGAGTCAGGACAATACAGTTAGAAAAGAACCTGGAACCTAATGTGCTTCTTTCTAAATTCCAAGATGATTGCACATTCCCTTGTCTCTGTTCAATGCAAGAAAAAAAAATGAATTCTATCTACGCACATGCTCTCTCTGTCCCAAAATAAGTGTAGATCTCGTATTTTGAGAATCAACTAATTTTAAATTTAACTAGATTAATAAAAAATAGTATTGACATCTATATCTCTAACTAGACTCACTATAAAAATATATAGGTTTATACTATAAAAATATATAATAGGATTTGGTATCATAAATATTAAAACATTTTTATATATTTTTTGGTTAAACTTGAAATTCGTTGGATACGTGCGCTTATTTTGAGACAGACAAAGTATATACCCCAACCCCATGTACACAGGAATCGCCGCTGCGAAGCTAAGAAACCAGCAGGATCGCGACAGATCCATGAGGGAGGTCTGCGAGCCTTTACCAGGGTCGCGCACGGTGCCGCGGACGGCGTATTGGCCTCGGGAGAGGAGGAGCTTCACCAGCCACGACGCGATGAAGCCGCCGGCGCCGGTCACGCACACGGTCTTCCCCGCCGCCGCCATTGCTTTCGGCTTTTGATTGCTCTCGTTGTCACGCTGCCGCTGAAGAAATGAACGGCAAGTCCACAGAACCACAGTTTAGAGCGGACCAGCGGTCTCTAGGCGTGGCGGGCGGTGGTACTAGTAGGAAGAAAATTCTACTACGCACCATCGAAGACGTGCGACACCGGACTGCTCTGCTGACACGCGTCGTCGCGTCGATCGGACGCGTCCCCGGCCTATGTGCGACACCACACGCGTCCCATATGACTCAACGTCCCAACCCGCACTCGAGCAGGCGAAGAAATAGTTGAGCCGACGCCGCACCGCTAGAAGGCAGAAGATCCAGTCGGAAGTCGGAACACGATTCATCGATGCTCCGGCGGGTGGAAGTCATGGAATCACTTGGCGTCGACGTTGATTGGGGGTGCAAGGCAGCGGCAGGAGGGACGAGGGAGAAGGCATGCGTCTGTGGATGCAGTTGGGTAGAAGAAAGCGGACTCCTGCCCAAACTTCCTCTTATTCCCGACCGAAACCTGTGATTCTTCAGCCTGTTCGGAAGGCTGTATCATATCGTGGATTATTTACTGCTGGCTGGTTTAGTGTGAGAGAAAAACATTGTTACCGGCTAGAAATTTACGATCGTTTACGAGCAAGCGAACAGGCTGTCTGTCTGTGTACGTATACAGCATGCATAGCTTCTGCAGATGCCGTCAGTAGCAGAGTGATGGGAGCAACAGCATTTTGTCTATGTATAAATTGGTATAATGATCTGAAGCACCATTGTGTTAGCAGCGGATAAACGGAAGAATCGGATCCAGGCAGAGAAGCACAGCAAAGGAACCGGAAATAGCGTTGAGTTCTTAGCAGTAGATAGGTTTCATTACAATAGCTGATACCCCTCTTTTCTAGTTACTAGAATGTATATCTACGCACTCGACACGGTTCAGCCGCAGCAGCGCGTTCGCCTCCGTCGCTGATCACTTGGACGTCCACTCCGGCCCAGTGTAGCGTGGATTGCCCGTTCTGGGCCTCTTCGGCCTTTCTTCCCTTGGCCCAGCTGAACTCTGTATCCGATCATCGTCAGCCGATGTAGCGCTGACATTCCCCCTCTCTTGCGCGCCATGTTGCAGCCACAAATTGGCGCAAGGGAACTGCTGATGCAGAGATTCCAGGTCTTCCCAAGTGGCTAAAGAAACTGGCATGTTAGACCACTGAATAAGACTCTGTTGAATGAATTTCTTACCACGCGGCAACTGACGGCGCTGGAGGATGCGCTCAGGAATACTCCATTGAGCCGACACCGAGAGGTAAAGTTATAGTGACAGTGTCTGAGAGCACCCACCGCCTTTGAGCTGCTGAAAAACATGGAATACGGGATGGATCGTGAGAGGAAGGTGGAAGTTCCAGCCTGTACGCCACCGAGACAACACGTGCCAGCACCTTGTAAGGTCCAAGATACTTGAAAGCGAGCTTCTGACTGCTTCTATCAGCAACTGACGTTTGCACATAGGGTTGAAGCTTGAGGAAGACCCAATCATCAACTTGGAACTAACGCTATGAACGATGGGAATCAGCAACATGCTTCATACGCTGCTTGGCGCGGAGCAAATGCTGCCGTATAAGTGCAGACATCAGCTCACGGTCATGCGGCCACCCAGCAATGTCAGTAACAGGCTGCTCATCGACAGAACTGATGCCAAAATGTGTAGGAGCATATCTATAAAGCACCTCAAAAGGAGATCGCCCTAGTGCCGAATGCCAACTTGTGTTGTACCAAAACTCAGCTAAATCAATCCACTGATGCCACTGCTTGGGACAAGCATGAACATAGCAACGCAAGAAGGTTTCCAAACACTGATTTATCCGCTCGGTCTGTCCGTCTGATTGAGGGTGGTAGGTAGTACTCATATGAAGCTCTACCTTGGCCAACTTGAACAATTCCCGCCATAGAGCACTGGTGAAAATCTTATCACGATCAGAGACGAGGGCCGAAGGCATACCATGAAGGCGATAGACCTGAGAAATGAAGAGCTTGGCAACTGTAGCAGCGGTGAAGGGGTGACGCAGACTGAGAAAATGAACATACTTGCTGAAGAGATCCACGACCACCAGAATACAGTTGTACCCTTCAGACATAGGCAATCCCTCCACAAAATCCAGAGATAACACCTTCCAGGAACGTTCAGGCGCTGGCAACGGTTGAAGAAGCCCTGGAAGCTTGCTACGGTCAGGCTTGGCCTGCTGGCAGATTTTGCATTCAGTCACAAAAGCACGCACCTCAGCCTTCAAACTAGGCCAATAAAAATGCTGCTTAATGCGCCGGTAAGTTACCGGAAGCCCACTGTGTCCACCAACTACGCTGGCATGCATTGCTTGCACCAATTTTAAACGCACGACAGCATCATTCCCAACCCATATACGGCCCTTGTAACGAATCAGACCATCTTGAAGAGTGTAATTAGGTGGAGACACTGAGGAATTTGAGAGCTTGGCCAACAACTCTTGAGTCACAGGGTCACTGGCATAAGATTGCAGCACTTCAAGTAACCATTCTGGTTGGCAGACCGACATGGCAACACATTGGACTACCGGAGCTCGTGACAAGGCATCGGCCGCTCCATTATCAATGCCCTTCTTGTACACAATGCGATATTGTAGCCCAAGGAGCTTAGTAAAAACCTTTTGCTGCCACGGGGTATGAAGACGCTGGTCCTCCAACTGTACTAAGCTCTTGTGATCAGTCAGGATGTGAAACTCAACAAGTTGTAGATAATTGCGCCACTGCTCAACAGCCATAAGAATTGCCAGATACTCTTTTTCATACGTGGACAGGCCCTGTAAACGAGGACTGAGAGATTTACTCAAGAATGCCAGAGGATGGCCCTGCTGCATCAAGACTACACTGACACCAATCCCACTAGCATCAGTCTTGATGACGAAGGGCTTAGAAAAGTTGGGCATGGCCAAAACCGGAGCTGAGGTCAAAGCTGTCTTAAGTGCCAAAAATGAGTGCTCCTGAACTTCAGTCCACACGAATAGAGCCCCTTTTTTGAGAAGATCAGTGAGGGGCCGAGAGATCATACCAAAACGGCGGACGAAGCGACGGTAATAGCCTGCCAAACCTAAGAAACTGCGCAATTCCTTGACAGAGGAAGGAGTTGGCCAGTGCAACACTGCCTGCACCTTGTCCGGATCAGTGGAAACTCCTTGTTCAAAGATTAGATGGCCCAGATAACGCAACTGTTGCTAAGCAAAGACACACTTGGAGAAGTTAACTTGCCATCTGCCCCGCTGCAGCAGTTCCAGCACAAGGCGTACATGTTCAATGTGTTCTTCCAAAGTCCGATTGAATATCAAGATATCGTCAAAGAATACCAACACGCACTTGCGCAATAAGGGCCCCAATGTGATGTTCATGGCCTTCAGGAAAGTAGCGAGTGCTCCAGTCAACCCAAACGCCATCACACGGAATTCATACTGTCCAGTATGAGTTTGGAATGCCGTTTTATGTTCTTCACCCGGCTTCAGACGAATTTGATGATATCCGGCGGTCAAGTCCAAAGTTGAAAACCAGGACACCCCATGCAACTCATCCAAAAGTTCCTCAATCACAGGCACCGGGTACTTGGCCTTTACTATGATGGCGTTGAGGTGCCTGAAATCCACGCAAAACCGATACGTCCCATCCTTCTTCTTGACATGGAGTATAGAAGAGGAAAAAGGACTTTGACTAGGTTGCACAATGCTGGAGGTGAGCATTGTAGTGATCTGGCGCTCAATCTCATCCTTGATAGCAGGGGGGTAACGATAGGGTCGTACATTGACAGGAGCTGCACCCGGTATCAGCGGAATCTCATGTGCAAAAGCACGCTCCGGGGGGTAACCCTGCAGTGGTTCGAACACAGACTGATATTCTTGCAAAAGCTGAGTTATAGCGGCCGGTTGAGTGGGTGTAGCAGAAGTAGGGCTGTCCTCCGTCACCGTAGTCACCTGGATTACTGAGCCGGGAGGCAAGCTATGTAGCTCCCCCTGCAATGTTCGGAAAGCGCCTTCATAAGGAATGACCAACCATTTCTGTGCCCAATCAACTTGCATTAGGCTATACTGAGCCAACCAGTCCATACCCACCACCAAGTCATAGTGAGCCAGAGGGAGTACTTTGGCATCTGTATGGAAAGAGCAACCCTGTACCTCCCATTCCAACTGCAGAAAAGTGGTAGCACAGTCCAAAACCTGGCCATCAGCAATCTTAACACGGAGAGGTACCGGTAGAGAAGTTTGTCCTGTCAACCTGGAGCTTAGAGCAAAACTGACAAATGTATGAGAGCTGCCCGAGTCCAACAAAATCTTAACTGGTAACCCTTGAATAGCTCCCTGGAATTGCATAGTACTTGTTGTTGCAATCGCCATTCGTGAGCTACAAGAGACACCGCAAAGAGTACACGAGCTTGGTTGGCTCTTCAAAGAAGTCGATCATCATCGAGTAGCATCATTGTGACAAATATCCCAAAATACTTGTAGAACATGCAACTGAATGTTTTCAGAACAACGGTGATCACGGGACCATTTTTCTCCACAATGAATACAGAGACCACGTGCACGGCGATATGAACGGAGAGTGTTAAGCCGATCCTCCACACCACGGCCACACCGCTCAGCTCCAACCGCCGGTGCAGCGTTGTCATTCTTGTCAGCAGCCAGTGGAATCTGTGTCATAGTGGGTCGGACGCCGGCAAACTTGTTGGAAGTGAAAGGTTTGGGGCGCCGACCCTCTTGGCGCTGAGTAGATTCTAGCAACTCTTCCTGCAATAAGGCCAGCACACAAGCTTCATCAAAGGAATTTGGCCTCTGCATATGAACGGCATTGCGTATGTCATCACAGAGGCCATCCATGAACCGCATCGCAAAGAATAGGGGATCTGTGTGACAAGTATAAGCCAACAACTGATCGACCAACTCTGAAAACTTGTCAATATACTCCTGGACGGTGGATGCCCGACGAATCCTGAATAGATGCCGAA